ACAAACAGACCGACAAACAGACAGACAAACAGACAGACAAACAGACAGACAGACAGACAGACAGACAGACAGACAGACAGACAGAAAGAGAGCCAGCCAGACAGACAGACAATCACCTGCTGAGGTGTTCACTGATCTGAATGTAGTCGTCGGCCCCTGTGGTCAGGACAAACGCCACAGCAGACATGAGTTCAAACAGGAAGAACACTGACGTCATACTCATCACCATTACACCCATCCGCCGCTCTTGTTTCCAACGGTTCTGAAAATTCCAGAGATTTTTGGACTGATCTAGACCTTATTCTTGATTATCTGTGTAAATTTGTATTCAATGGAGAGAGAAATTTATGTTCAGTAAGTTTATGTTTATTGAGGAGATAATAGACTGGTCTGGGTTTTATCATTCGTGTTTATATATTTTTCTTACACGAAAAGAGATATGTGCGTTAAATGAGGTGACTTTAGATTGGGAGATTTTTAGATAAATCTGGGTTATAGTTAGTTTTCTTTCTCAAACAGTAAAATGCATATCAAATAATACATTACAGTTCCGTAAATCGAGGCAGTGACTAAGAAGTCGACTTTGTAACACCACTGCCATTGCAAGCGGCCGAAACAAAATTCTCCCTGCGAGAGGAATGAAGAATGTCATGGTTACTGTCACTATCATTGTCAAAATCCAATTAAAGTTCTGAAACATCAAATATGGTTAGGCATGATGACACAAATTAATACGTTACTTCTTGCGATATGCGAATTGAAATATTGGCCTACAGTCGACACCGGGGTCAAATTTGCGGATTTTCAACTAATGCCATTTTCTTCAAGTTTAACATGTCTTTGTCATAATTTTATTCTAAAATATTGCAGAAACTCAACTTTAAAAACTGACGTATATATGTCAAAGAGGCATTGGAGAATATTGTAACAACAGGCAAGTTTGATGGAAAGAGAGGCAGAGGCAGACAGGGAAAAGATACTGGACAAGATGACAACATGGCTAGGAGCAGCAAGAACAACAGACACTATTGCTGCAACGCAAGACAGAGTGAAGTGGAGGCCCATGATCGCCAATACCAGTCGACAAGGCACCGGATGATGATGATGATGATGATGATGATGATGA